TATATATATATATGTATATATATAATATATAAGCGCCATGAAGCGTCACAATTAGCGCTTTTATATATGTGCGTATCTGTCTATCTCTCTGTCTGTCCGTCCGTCTGAGTATTCAGCTTTGATGCTGAAATTTTGCCAGTGGCTTTCCTTGCCAAGTGCGACCCAAGGGACGTGGCATCAGATTTCATGCGTGTGGGTACGTGGGACTTTTGGCGGGAAAGTCGTTTACTCTGACCAGGTAAGCTAGAAAATTGGAATTTTGGGGAAATTTTCTTTGCCTACGTAAGATCTAAAGCTTTCAAATTCAGCTCCAAATTACGCTTGGTCTTTACCTACGAATACGTTAAAATTGGGCATGAAACTTCCCAACTCGGATTTCGTCATCCTCCCCCTCTTAATTATGCGTTTTGTGCTGCAGCAGTTACACAAAAATGCACATTGTTGAGACCCTGTGTGTGTGTCTGTCTGTCTGTCTCTCTGTCTGTCTGTCTGTCTGTCTGCCTGCCTGCCTGCCTGCTACGAGTGCATTTTATCCAGGGCTCCAACTCGGGAACCAGAGAAGCTAGGAGGCTGGAATTTTAGTAAAACGCTCCCGCCCACGTGCGACCCGCAAACTTAAATTCAGCCTTCACATGCCCCCGAGTATCATGTGCGACCCCGCAAAAAGTTTGGCGGGGAAAATTATTTTCTCGGGAACCACGAAAGCTGGGAAGCTGAAATGTTAAGGCAATGTCCCCTGCCTTCCTACGACCCACCAAATTTAAACTGTCTTCCCGTCCGCCTAGGTACCACATATACGGTCTCATGAAAGTTTTCGCGCGGAAAATTGCTAGCTCGAAAACCTTGAAAGCCAGGAGGCCGAAATTTTAGGGTAGTGTCCTCTGCCCACGTACAACCCCGCAACTTGGAATTCAGTTTTCTCGTAAGCCTAGATCCCACGTTCGGCCCCGTGAAAGTTTTGGCAGAGAAAACTATTAACTTTCGAGCGAAGAGCTGGAAGGCTGAAAACTTTAGGATGATGTTTTTCTTATTTGCAGAGGTTTAATAAACTCAGACTTAGCTCCCAAGTATGACGTGGTTTCGTATATAACCACGTGAAAGTTTTAATGCGAAAGTTACTCGGAAACCAGAGAACTAGGAGGTTCATCGTCCAAGACTTCAAGTTCAGCTTTCACTTACACTTATTTTTTACATACTGGCACGTGAAATTTTTAGTCGAGGAATTTAGCAACTTAGGAACCAAACAGCATTTCGACTATTTCTTCACAGACGAAAGTGTAAAGCAGTTAAAATCCATAGGAGGTAAACGTCCCAGGTCGAAACTGCGCAAAATGCTTGATCGTATCGGTTACCCTAGTGCGCCCCACTATTTATTTTCCAATTTTAATAGCATCGTAAATGGAAACGATATCTCTAAGCTTTTTTCATAAAACCATGTGAGAAATTATAAAGTTATGGTTAACTGAGCTTTAACAGCAGAAAAGTTTATTTTCAAATCATGATTATGAGGTGGCACTAGGCAAGATTTTGGCAACTTCATTTTTGTAATCTAGCAGTTTTTTCATTTTCTCAAATCATTTCTGAAGAAACCTTATTCAGTCTAATTTTTACTTCGAACTTTATATTAACAGATCCGGTAGATTCGAGCTGGACGTGGTTGAATCGACGCAGCCCACCAACACTGTTCGACGAAACTGCGCTTTTTACACACGCCTCTTCGCTACCAATAACAATACCTGCAGGTCGTTTTTGGCCTCCACAAGATGCCGCCGACAGTGTCAAAGGCTTTGACGACGGGTTTGACGCAGATGATAATTTAGGACTCGATAAAACCGTAAGTTTTTCAACCAGCGGACATGGACGCCGAGATTTTTGGCATGATATAATTACAAGGAAAATTATGCTCATCTCTTCCAGATGGTAGATACTACTCACAGGACCTTCCAGAATTATAGCTGAATTATATTCTGATAACTGGCTGGCGGATTTCAACAAGTTGCAGCGAATTTCTAAACGCACCTATGGTGGTTTTCTTTCGTCAGCCATAGAGGTTTTTGGCAGCTGAGTTACTGGTTACACTAAAGGCCTCGTAAGTACTAAGGATTTTCTTATTCACCTCATACTAACTTCTGAAACGGGCTCACCTTTTCTTGCTGAAACGTTCTTTTACAGATTTTGCCTCAGCGCCCTCCGAAGGATCTTAATAGTCCCATGGGCGCTTGTGCTCGCTCAATCCAGGCAGCCGACGATCCAGAACGTTTGTTTGACGAGCTTATTTTGCGTCGTCGTCATGATACGGGTCGGGCAGAAGATGCCTCAACTTAGGTGAATGAATCCCTCTGGTACGATCCTAATGGCGCTGCGGATGGTTGCTGTTAGTGCGACAAAATAAAATTAGACTTTTTTAATCACTGTTTAGGACTGCCCTTATTTACTGTTCATTAGAACTAACTTGTTTTCTCATTTCTGCCTCTCATGATGGGTACTAACAGAAGTTGGAGAGTGTGGTGCCTTTCAAAAGTGATTTGGAATTGTGACTCACAAGCGCTGTTTTGCAGATTCTGTCGTCCAGCAAAATTCTATAGAAATCGATTTATTAAACTGCTCTCTATTGTGGCAGCTACCCTTTATGGTTTATATTGCATGAATATGCGTCTTAAAATGATAGCCGGTGAGGTGGCTGGGACAAATATGTGAAATAAGCCTTGGAGGCTTTTGAGACTTTGCGTGAAGAAACTTTAGGAATTCCAGCAGTGCCAAAAGGCAGTGTTCAGGAAGACTTTCGTCTGAGTTCTTTTTTTGGCTTCCGAGCACATGGAAGATGTAGTCAAAAAGTCTTCATTCCTAGACAGAGATTTGCCAAAAAAACACAGTAAGCCGTTAAGCTTCAAATACTAGTAGTGAATTATCGTATAGTTGTATAATTGTTGTTGTCCTTCGGGCGTCTCGCCTATCCTGAAACCGTTTCTTTTGTTTTTCAAAAATTCGATTGTTAATTTTTCTTCTTGTCCCCTATTTTTTTT